CAGTCGGATGGGCTCCTCCCCCCCTGGCTCGCTCGAGGTTGCTCTGACAAACCTGTTTACACATTTCCTTTCTTGGCAAAGAAGACCTCGGGATAGAACTGGGATGGGAACCTGCGAGGTCATGAAGGCAGGACCTCGAAAGGGGCCTATCCCCATTGAAGCACGGGAATCTGAGGACATGTGGATAGGTGGCTGAGATCTAAGGGGTCGCTTCAGTCCGAGGCTAGCACAAGGGGGAAAAGATACCCGGTACCTAAGTTCGAGCGATGAAGGATAAGAAACGCATTAATTACGAAAGACATTTGATAACACCCGCATTAATTAGGGAGCACCATTATCTTCTTTGACCGGAGGGCAAAGCGCCGCGGCCCATCCATCAGTGTCTCATCCGTCAAATGAAGAGGCCATCGAACCTTTGGAAAAGAGCGGGATCAGCCAAAGGACTAAAAGACATTGACTGAGGAAGTAAACATTATAAATAGGGGTGTTGATCAGCCTTTAAAAAAGGAAGAACCACCACATTAATACTTATCCTCTGACAAGCTCGAGTTTGCATGGTACCGAGGTCGGCCTTCCTTTTCTCAATCTCCGTTCCTAGAGAATCCCTTGTGTTGCTTGGATCTCCACTTGGATATTGATCTCAGATCTCTTGGTATACGTGGAACGAACTCCTCATCTTGCTCACGAACTACCATCAACACAATTAATTTAAACAGTTTCCATAGTCTTATATTTATAGTTACCGCCAAAGAACAGAGGTATTGCATCGATCTGCTTTGAGTTCAAATAGTTTGATCAAATACAAACCTCGAAAACCTGCATGGTTCAGTCGATCAATTTCTTCAAAATTATTATTATAAATAAAAAAAGTTGTTGGATCATTATAAGGCACTTGTAATTAGTTCACAAATATGAAATTATGAAATGTGATGGAATTTCACACACTACACACATTGTCGGGGAAAAAAAAAGACTAGGGTCCCCACAGCTAGTATTAATCACAAGATTATCCGGTACACACTGGATGTGGGACATGAATAGCTATTATACACATCTCTGATAAGAGTCCGTGACAATCAGTTCTGAAAACACGAATTGAATTGGTGACCTTCATATCATATTTGTTAAGTCAGGCATTGACTCTTTAAATGATGGAGCATCAAAAAAAAAATGAAAGGGAAATTCTAGACGTTGAGGCCGGTTATGTTATATACTGGTCCTTTTTGCGTAGGGTGGTGGGTTTGGATTTGGAAAAGCTTAAAGATTTCTGATTTCACATGGCATGGGATGAATGGCAACACTTGTAAATTTACGTACTCCAATTCTGCTGCAAAAGCTTGGTTGGGCGTTTGTTTTTAGTTTAGATGCCTCGCTCATACCTATCAAGAATGGGATGACTTAATTCCATGTGAATTATCATTTACAATGCCTGGGAGCTGCTGATACTTAACTTGTTTTCTTAGACAGTCATGCGTTGGGATGGTAATCAATGAGTTTGGGGATTGTCCAAACAACTCTTATTTTATTTTATTTTATTATTATTATTTTTTTTTTTTGGGATTTTCAAGCTACTCAATATATAGATATGAAAATTTGAAAATATTTACAAGAAGGGGGCATTAAGCCAAACAGTCCAATGGATTGAACAAACAAGCCCAATAAAGGGCCTACAAAATAGAAGCCCAAACTAAACTAATAACTTACATTAACGGTTGAATAACCGTTAATGGAGGATGTTATCCAGCAAGCCGCATAGTCGCCGGCGAAAGTCAGTCTGGAGGCCTTGAAGGGGGACGACAACAAGAGGGGGACAAATCCCAATCAGCAAGTAATCTTTTGGAACTTTGCAAAAGGAGAGACGAAAAAATTGGAAAGTAAAATGATATGAGGTCGTTTGTGAATATTTAGTCTCCAATTACGTAAATACAATCAAATGTATTCAAATATCATCGACTCAATTGTAAATATAACAATGTATCGTCAAAATACAACAAATATTTACCTTTTTTTGTTTCTTTTGCAAATTTTCACTCATCGTGACCTTTCAACTTTAGTTAGCCAGGCCACCTACTTAAATCTTATTATATTAGTATACAAAAGGGAACATATTACTTCATGTGGTCTTCGTTAATCCAGATCTTCTTTATCTTCAAAAGGTAAGCATCACAAATTCCAACCCCCATTTTCATTCATACCTGCCAACTCAGGCATCAGCAAATGTACATAAATTATACCTTTTCTTTTGAAAAAGGTTTGGAATTATGTTAGACGTGAAGGAACGGGTCACTTAAAGCATTCAAGTGTACCCATTAGTACCCCTTTAATTGTTTTAAATATTGTTCAACTGCCAATTAATTTATACCAATTATAAATTAATATGTCTTCTTAGTTCTTTATTTCTGTCTCATTTTATTTCTATCTTATCGTTGATATCATATTTTAAAGGCATGGTTTCCACCATCAAATAATTTATAGCATTTGAGGGCACATATAGACACCAATATATTCAAACTTCATACCAATAAGTTTGAAACCTCTGACTAGCTAGTGGATATTGAATATATGCGAGTCCTTATTGCATAGAAAAATCAACCCACCAACCTGACCCACATCTTTATTTTTCTCACTAAATGTTGCCTGCAAACTTTGATTCCTCAGACATGCAAAGTTTGAAAATATGTGCAATTTAATCATTCCAACTTCAATTTGGACCGGTACCGAACTAATGAATAAAATAAAATAAAATAAAAGTCCCAGAATCTCCAACATAACATAACATAAGAAGAAAAGTTTTCAATTTTTTGTTCTACAAAATAATTGCAAATAATTTGAAAGGCCAAAAAGTGAGCTGACCTATTAATATGGAGAGAAATATAATTTAAAACTTATTAAAACTTTATTCAGTCGTATGAAATTGAGTGTTTTGGAATTGGTGAAATTGACAGAATCATAGAAGACATGTATAATTATTTTTATCCAAAACAATTGGTTATATATGTGACTCAAAAATAATAGGCAAGGTCCACTGCATATCCGATTCAAAAAAGTCATTGTGAGTTTAAAGATTAGGGTTCTAATGGTTTTTGCTCTCTAACTAAATTAAAATGCATTTCTAATTGACCAATATCTTTTGTTTAATTGTTAATCATAGCATTGGTCAAATATGGAACAACCAAAACTAATAAATAATGGTATTTTCATCATATATTTTTCTTCTTAGTAATATGGGTATTGTACTAGTTGGGTGAGACGGAGAGACTCATCCCTAAAAAATATATTCACTGCATATCTCAAAATTCATTTGTCAGGTTTGTATAGAAAATTTTAGTAAAGTCAATCTCAAGAAAGAGAAATAGAATTAGTGATATTTGCTAGCTTCATGAGATATGATTTTGTATATACGTAGTCACTATTGTCAACATTTTATAGATAGATTAGTCAATAGCATATCTTATGCGGTACAGTTATACATCAAATATCCAATGCCACACTCCTCATTTTTTTATTATTATTTTTGGTTAATATTGTTGTACACTAAAAAAAAGTTTCATTTAATTCAAAGTGATAGGTCAGGATCATCAAATTGAGTTTTATTGGAGCAATGAATCCAAATAAATAATTACGAACCACCACATGGTGGTGGGCTCACCCACCCCCTTCTTGATTCCAAGGTGGGTAGGTACTCTCTATGATTAATTATTGAAGAAGGATTCATGTGATTAATCAATTCATCCATGCCCACCATTGGGTGCTTCACCATTATTTTGCTTAACTTGTTCTTCAAAGTTAAAACAATTTGTGCCACTTCAAACTCTTAATGATGTGTGTCAAAGAATGAGTGTAATTTAGCTAATGATGAACTAGAGATCACGAAACCTTCAACATGTCTCTCTCTTTTTTTTCTTTGGAAATATTGAATTCTATCAATTTATAATAATCAAATTAAAATATGAGAAATTGTTAAATGGTATTAGATCATAAGGTATTTGGTAATTTAATTCAATCAAAATCCATGTTTGAGATACTATATGGTATCTCATCAAAACTATTATGAGTTCACTTTTTTAATTGAAGAGTTTTAATTCCACAGAAATCATATGATTTATGACCATCTAATAATTTTTTATCACCGTATTTTCAAATACATGGACCTCATAAATTTTAAAAATAGTAAAGTGAAATATTCAATATTTACCAAATCAAAATCAAAATCAAAATCAAAATGTCTTTTTTATCAATAAAGAATTTCAACAATTTATAATAACCAAATTAATCGAAGAGTTTTGATTTAACAGAAATCATATAATTTTTAGATATTTAATAATTTTTCATCACCGTATTTTCACTTGGCCCCTTAGAAGTTTTAAAAAATAAGGTGAGAGATTCAATATTTACCCAAAAAAAAAAAAAAAAAAAAAAGAAAAGAAAAGAAAAGAAACGAAAGGAGTTTTCAAAATAGAAAAGATCTTCAATGTTCATGGCAATTTTTGTGGACAAATGCATCATGAGACCCTCACCCTTTTGTTGTTTTTTTTTTGGGTAATTAACCCTCACCCTTTTGGGTCCTCTTCTTAACCATCAAATTGAGGAACCAAAGAAGTCAAAGCATCCCACACCCAACAAGTCAACTATAAACATAAAAGCAAACCCGATTGGTGAAGAAGATTACTGTTTTTTTCCTAGTTCGCGTAGTACCTGAATGAATCACCAGCCATATATTGTTATCTCTTCTTTTCTTTATCGGTAAATAACAGTTTGTTATCTTGTAAAACAAATGTTGCCTTGTAATTAACGCTTTCAAATCTTAATTCGGCCCTTAAACTCCAAACAGAAAAAAGAAAAAAAGAAAATCCAAACAGAACTCAACGACCTTTTTATGAAAATCCAACTAAATTATTCCGTTAGAGAGAGAGAGAGAGAGAGAGAGAGAGAGAGGGAGTCCCACCCACACCCCCCCCCCCCCCCCCCCCCCCCCCCCCCACCCACTACGATTTTTTATCTCTTCTGTGACTGTAGAACTGTTTGAGTTAGAGAGGGAACACAGAGAGAGACAGAGTGTTTGGCACCTTCTTGACTCAGCCCTGCCGGCAAAGCCGTCTGTCTATATATATATATATATATATATATATATAAATTGTATGTCGATATGTATATCCTTTTATAAACGCGTTGAATGGTCAAAACGCAAAAGCAACAAAGCAGTTCGTTCTCTTCAAACTCAAGTTTTTCAATTCTCTGGTTTTTCCAAGAAACTCCAACAATCAGCGGTGAAGACAAAATCCCTAAATTATTGATTGGGGTTTTTGATTCAGTCAATATCAATTTGAATCAATTTCAAGGTATTTGTTATTGACTCCTCTCAATTATCTTAAAAGTTGGAGTGTATTTTGGTTATACATACAGTATGTGTATATAACATTGAAGATAGAATGAGTTTCTGGATTTTAAGTTATTCTTTTCAAAATTGAGTTTGAAGGTCCTTGGTGAGAGTATGATATTGGTTAGCTGATGAATCAGGGAAAGAGTGAGTTTCAATTGTTCCCTTGGATTAAGTTTAGATGATTCTCTTCTTCAGTGGGATTTGAAAAATAGGGTCTTTTGTTTGTTGGTAAAGTTAGTTATTGGTGGTGAATAATATTTGCAAAGGAGGGTTTGTTTGCTTTTTTATTGGTAATTCATGGGTTGCCTTTGTGGTAAGGCTTCCGCTGTCAAAGACAGCCGGGAAAGCCCAATTGAGATACAGCAGAATAAAGTGTCATCGGAGTTGCACGTGCCTCGTGTGGCTTCTTCTCGGAGACGAGAGAGTTTTCGGGTGAAAGGGAGGTCAGACAGTGGTGATGTAAGATTAGGATTAATTAAGAGAGCAAATGGCTCAAGAAGGGTGCAGGATGACCGTTTTGAGAAGAAGAGAGATAATTATGAGGTTCTTGTTGCTGAATACCCCGGTATGGGAAGCCTTCCCAGAGCTACGGAAGGAGAACAGGTTGCGGCAGGTTGGCCTTCTTGGCTCGCAGCAGCAGCTGGTGAAGCTATCAAGGGATGGTTACCACGTCGTGCTGATACTTTTGAGAAATTAGATAAAGTATGTTCCCTTACTGACTCACTATGATCTAGCAATTGCACAAACTATAAATTTACTTTATTTTACCACGAAATAAGAAGAAAATTTGCATGGGCTTCATGTTGGATGAACATATATTCTTTGGTGATCTTATCGTTATTGATTATGAAGTTTGTTTAATTAGAATAAATTGCAATGACAAAGATCTGGATAGCTACCTTTTTATATAAAATTTATGATGACAATCACTTCTGAAAATCTATTGATCTTCTCCTTTGATTTAATTATTTAACACAGGGATGTTTCCAAATGCCTATAGTAATTGAGTCTACGATTTCTGTCTTACAAGCCTTTGGAGAAGTTGCTTTGTATGCTTAATGGTTGTTATAATCCAGACTCCGGCTTACGTAAAGGGTAAAGACTAATTAAATTAATGTAAATTTCACAAACTCTTGAGTTGAAATAGAAAGCTAGAGTTTAATTACTAAGTTCACAAGCTTTTGAGTTGAAATAGAAAGCTAGAGTTTAATTAATGACTTTAAAGGATATTTAGTCAGAGGTTCATAACTCAAGCTTTGAAATACAGTGAAGTAACAGTGACTTATATTTTATACAAAAGACTAAGTAGTTTGACTAAAGTTCATCAGCAGTCTACTGGCTATTAAAAAGCTTGATTTCAGTCTCAGTTGAAAATGAATTGCAGAGCATTAAATGGATTGACGTTTGACACTGTAAATTTCAAGTTGAGTGCATTTTGATGTGGTGCTATCATTTCAGGTCTCTAGTATATTATGTCATTAAATGGATAGAGGTTTATGGTAAGAAAATGACATTTGACACTACAAATTTCCTCTATTACATGGACTATTCAAAAGTAGTGAAGTACCCGTGTCGGACACATATCCCTCGGACATGGGTATGAGATATGTGTCCGACACTTTTAGTTGGATATGTACTTAAAAAGTATATGCAATCATTTAATTATATTATATTATTACTTTAAAATAAGTTAAATGCCTATATTGAACATTATATTAGATAAAAACATTACTTTACTCTAGAAAATAAAATAAAATAATTAGTAAAATGAATATTTAGCAGTGTCCGTGTGTCCTTCTATTTGGAGATTTGACACGCCCGACGCATGGATACATACCCATGTTTGACACCAGTACCCGAGTCCAGGTAACATAGCAAATTTCAAGTTGAGTGCATTTTGATATGGTGCTATCATTTCAGGTCTCTAAAATATTCTGGCACATATGGCCATAAGTATAAAGATAGTAAAGTAGATATAAACTATGATCTTTGCAAATGCTGTTGTCTGAGCTGTAAGAATTAATGAAGGCAGCAAGGCTGACACAGGTTTCACTTATTCAGAGAAGTAGTAAGCTGATTAGTCATGCAACATTCTGAAATCCTCTTAGTGAAAGGTGCTTTTTCTGCTAGAGTAAAACTGAAGAACAAACAAAATCAGGAAAATATATTTTGAAGAATTCTTAAATAACAAGCTGGTGGAACACCAAGATATCTATATTGGTCTTTAGAGAACTGTAGGGATTCAGGAGTAATGTTTATGGCTTAAGAAGTAAACCTGATCTTTTAAGGTAATACCTGATATTGAGTGTAAAACTGACTAATAAATGTTTATTTATATATTTTTAATTTATTTTCCTCACCCATTGTGAGGGCTTCCCAAGTGCAATCTGTAATAAACACATCTTATCTATGGTTTTTTTTTTTTTTTTTAGTTATCCATCCCACGACTCAATGCCCTCTCTAGATCTTCTGTACTTTAATTACTTCTTTCTTATTTTATACAAATCCCCATTCAGGGAAAATAATAACAACCAAAGAATGCAGTTGCCAATAAGTTGGTTCTTGGTTGCCCATCCTTCTGCTTATCAAGCATATGTCATTGTACAATCATACAAGTCCATTAGAAATATAGTGAGATTTTAATGCGTGAGTCAGATTGCAATCTGGGATCACATGTTCACCCAAGTTACTCAATTTGAACTTGATCAACTAGATCCTCCTGGTTAAGTGCAAATGCTATCTGTACATTCTGTCCCATAAAGTTCAATATAATTTGATGAATCTTTATAATTCTTGATTGTACACCCACTCATTAATAAGTGATGGTTAAAAACTACATTGTTCTGAAACCAAAACGGGCTTAATATTTCCATGAGTGATCAATGAATATTTCCATCTGTACAGACTGTTTGGACTGGATTTATTAATAAAATAAGATTCTCAGTTCATTTATTTGAAGGATTATGGTAGCATAAATTTTAATTGATAATCTGATATGCTTATTGGCCATTGTGTTGTGCTATGGCAAAAGTTCGGGATGCTAAGTTTGGAGAGCACTAGTTCAAGTCTGATAACCATTTTGTGTAAATAATGTAAAAGGTTAAAACTGTATCCAATCCGTCCCTCTCAGCAACATTGGTTAAGTGGGACAAATACTTAATAATGTCTTTAGAATGTTGTGTTTTGCTTTGATTTTTGTTCTCCATGTTTGTTGATATTTGCATATTGTGAGTTTGGATCAAGCATGATAGCATCTCTTTCTTGCAGATTGGCCAAGGAACTTATAGTAGTGTTTACAAAGCTCGCGATCTCACTCAAAAGAAAGTTGTTGCTTTGAAAAGAGTGCGATTTGATAATTTGGATCCTGAGAGCGTCAAGTTCATGGCAAGAGAAATCCTTCTTTTACGTAGGCTTGATCATCCAAATATAATCAAACTGGAAGGTTTGGTCACATCACGGACATCTTGCAGCCTGTACCTTGTTTTTGAGTATATGGAACATGATCTTACAGGCCTTACATCACTTCCTGGCATCAAGTTTACAGAACCACAGGTAGTTATATAATAGTTATCTTAACTTAAGAGTGTTGCTTAATGCTGTACCTTGGCATTCATTTTCTTACCATCATCATACGGTGATGCAACTTGGAAGCAGCATTGCTTTAGATTGATGCAAAAATCCTAATGTTATTTTTTGTTTTATTTTTAGATTAAATGTTACATGCAGCAGTTGCTTAGTGGACTTGATTATTGTCATAGTCATGGTATTCTGCATCGTGACATAAAGGGTTCAAATCTTCTAATTGACAATCATGGCATCTTGAAGATTGCGGATTTTGGCTTAGCGAGTTTCTTTGACCACCGTCAAGGTCTGCCATTGACAAGCCGTGTTGTGACTCTTTGGTATCGACCACCGGAACTTTTACTTGGGGCCACTTACTATGGAGTTTCAGTGGATTTGTGGAGTACTGGTTGCATACTTGGAGAACTATATGCTGGCAAGCCCATCATGCCTGGAAGAACAGAGGTACAGGAGGAATCTGTTTCGTACCATGCATTCATGTTCTATGTCCTTAATGGTTTTCTGTTGTTTTTCCTTTTCAATTCTTTTGTGTTTGTAAAAATTTCAGAGAGTTTTTTTGACTAAACAGATTCTTAGCTTAGTGTACAAAAAATAAATAATAACTACTAAACAAATAGGCAGAAAAAAGTTAGAATGGAGAATATAATGGAAATGCTAGATTTCCGCCTTAATTTGGAAGCTGTGTAACAAATTTGAACTGTAATACTTTATTAAATGGTCATTAGGAGTTTGGATATCACATGACAGGTAGAATGAGAATAAAAATTTACTTTAAAAAATTGCCATAAAATATTACGTGTACATATTTTTAGGATTTAATTAATAGCGTACTACCATCTTTGGCAATTTTTGTTATTAATTTGGTGATGATCTCAATATTGGTTATTAACTGACCTTGGCTATTTTAATTTTTTTGATGTCAAAACTGAAAGTTGAAGTTGTTGTCAAATGGAATATAGATATCTTTGGTATTGTTCCTGAAATAGTCCTGTTCAAAACAAAAAGAAGATGAAAACAATACTGAAAATGCCTTCGGTGGACCATTTATTAAGGGCCATTTTGAAGAAATTTCTTGAAAACAAGCTGATTTTTGTAAACTGTTTAAAATAATTTCACATGTTTTTAAGAACTAGATTTAATTAAGTACCAGAAAAAACCCTGATATGGTAATGTTTTAAAAAAAATCAGTCCTTTTCATCTTCAACATTGTCAGAAATTAAGGCCGTTAACATGTGGTGGCTGTGAAAGTTAAATTTTACTCCTCTTGTAGTATCCATGCATCTGAGAAGACACGAAAGGTCAAGTCATATTATACAAAGATGTTTTCTGCTTGATACTTGAGTTGGTAGTCAGGTCCGCTAATAATTCCCCCTCCCTCCTCCAAAGATTGCATTTGTTGCTAATCTAATAGCAAGCACCAATGATTTTACCGCCTACGAGATATATCCGTGACCCATTTTACCTAGTTTTATTGTATTTTACACTTGTGTTGAAGTTTAAATCTTGTTTTTCTTCTTTTGGTCTATACTTTCATATCTTATTATGAACACCAATCCACTTGAATGCTATGCTGCAAACAATCCAGAGATTGAGTTGATTTGGAGGCCAGTTTGGCAAATCTAATTGGGTCGTGAAGTTAAGCTTGTTTGACTGTACCATCATATACATAAAAATAAGTAAATTTATAAATTTTAGACTTGCATCTTTTCTTCGTCTCTGTCCTTCGGATTCACCCATATGTCTTTTTCGATTGTTTTCTCCGGGAATACCACCAATACTTGACTCACTGCATATGCATGTGGTAGCCACCACTTGACCTTGATTTTGTGCTCAGCCCACACCGCCAAGTGATCTAAGAAAATGAACACCTAGAGCAGGCACTTTGGTGCCCTTTTGGGTAGATCTTTTCCATTGAATCTGCAAATGGAGGACTACCACATGTATGTATAGTGGGCACAACTACAAATGTGTTTTGCCTCATTTAACGTATCCAATAATTAACTTCTCTTCTATTGCCAAGGGACAAATTTTAGAAATTTTCATGGCAAAGGGAGTCTACAGTATAATTGTATAGTGACATGCTTCATGAATCTACGTTATACTTGGGTACCTCTGTTAATGTTTCAAGGTCAGAGTTGCAACTTCCACCATGGTAGTGAGCACTTATACCTCTTTGCTCCTCTTTTGCAATATGCATATTGCATTTTCCTTACTGTTCTGATATGCATAGTTTCATACATAAATGAAAATATAAAATATGCTTGCTTACATATAAATTGTTGAAATTATATTTAGGTATGTTACATATATATGTCCCTTCTGCTAAGTTAGTTGTATTTTAGTATCAAGTTATTGTGCCATTAGTTTATGTGTTTGTACCTTGTAGGTTGAGCAATTGCATAAAATTTTCAAGCTTTGTGGTTCACCATCTGACGACTATTGGAGAAAATCAAAATTACCGCATTCAACGGTGTTTAAACCTGTACAGCCTTACAAAAGACGTCTTGCAGAAACATTTAAAGATTTCCCCCCCACTGCTATAGGGCTCATGGAGAAATTACTTTCCATAGATCCTGCACATCGAGGGACTGCAGCTTCTGCTCTCAAGAATGAGGTAGTGATTTATTCTGTTCTTTTCTTTATATTGAGCCCTGTCATTACCTTTTTTTACGGTATTGCTGGATGCTGAGTTGTACAAGTTATATGTCTCTTGGCATGCATCATTGAAGCTTGAAACTCATTTTTTATCTTTCTTTCTAGATATTGCTTTTGTTCAATTGGTATTGATAAATAAGTAAAGAACTCAACTATTGAGTGGAGAAAATCTAAAGGAGATACAGGCCTCCTTGAATCACCAATTCATATGGAGAAATGAACAATAACAGGACAATCTTATGGGAAGGGACTTTCCATCATTCGTCCTTACCAACCCCTTTCTTAGCAAAAGAGTTCCTTAAGTGATATGTTTTTTAGGGAAGCTACTCATGCACCTTTCTTATAAATTATTTACTAATTAATTTTCAGTTGTAACATGCTTTTTTTTATAATCCAATGTTTCTACTATGGTTACCTGAGCGCCTGATAAAAAAATTTGGACATATAATCAACTATAATCTAATTGAATTATTTTTTCTTATTCTTGTTGTGCATCAAGGTAGTCCCATGCAATGATGGAAGTGAAAATACTTGGCTTTAATATATATAACAGAAAAAAACATGCTGAAGCCAAACTTATTGATGTAAAAACTGTATTAGCTTTTCTTTCATACCTAATTTATCTTTGTGTCACCAACTGTTGCAACAATCCTTTTGACTGCATGGCAGCCATCTTTTATTTTCCTGTGAAAATGTTATACAATTACTTCAGATCTTTTTCTTTTTCCTCTTAGTAAGATCTATGATTTTGTTCTGTTTTTGATCAATAAAATTTGTATTCAGCAGTTCTTTACAACAAAACCTTTTGCTTGTGATCCTTCAAGTCTGCCAAAATATCCTCCCAGCAAAGAGATTGATGCAAAATTGCGTGATGAAGAAGCTAGAAGGTGTGTTCTCTATGATAATTATCATTTCCGTAGTTTATGTGTTTGTTCTTCCTTTTGAGAAGTAGTGACTTACTATGATATAATATCGTTCGTTGAAGAAAACTTGTGCTCCATGATAATCTTTTAAACTTGGGTCACAGAAGAACATAAAGTTAAAAAGATTGTGAAGTAGCCCACATTATTGAAACAGAATATTTGTTGGCTACAGATATTCTAGCTCATTCTGACATGGCAATTGACAAAATCTAAGGGCAAAGTGGAACATTTGTGGGCAAACAATTTGGATCTACAAATTTTACTACCTACATTTGTATTTTTCATGGATTTTCACTGAAGGAGTTTTTCTTATTTAACCTTATGATAGCTTTTGGGTTTGAATAAATGATTTCCTTGGTTTTAAACCATCAACTTCTTCTATAGAATGTGAGTACTGAGTAGGTTTTCACATCAATTGTAACTATTCTGTTTTTCTAATGTGGAAATGTCCAAATAGAGGCTTACTTGCTAGATGTAGTGTTTTCATAATGTTAACCCTTTCAAATATTCCTACAGGCGAGGGACAGTGGGAGGCAGGGAACAGAAGGTTGACAAGGAAAGAGGATTAAAAGGACCTCGGGCAATTTCAGTGGCTGATGCTAATGCTGAGTTAGCGACGTCAATGCAGGTACCCGAAAGAAGGTTCATTTATTTTAATTCTAGTCCTGTTTGAATTTGAAGAAAAACTTCCTTAAATGTCAATAGTTCTTTGAATTTCCACTGAGAGAGTGGATTTATTTGAACACACAAGAAGTTAACACTGGTATAAGTGAGGACTACCAGAATGACATGCTTACTAAAAAGTCAATGCGAATTGCTTCAGAATTTTTACTAAAAAGAGGAACACCTATAAGGTTTAAATGTTTATAATATGTGTCCAGTATGGTGGGCATGATGAATGAAGTGTTGGTTTAAACTTAAAGGCAACATGTATTACGTTTTGATTTCTGGTTAAACCTATTTTAATTAAAATAAGACTAGCTGTGACATAATATGTGCATCTTGGGGATTTTATACTGTGGTTAGCCTTGGGAATTAAGCTTTTAAAACACATAGTTTAGGTATATTCTCTTTTCGAGGATTTCTTGAAAGTTCATTGCCTTCCATTTCAAATATTTTTTAAGATATAATTGACCTTTTAATTAGACCATTTGATTCTCAACCTTTTTTTTTCCCTCTCTGATTTGATACATTCAAGTTTTTATTTGTGACCATGAGTTTGATCTCTCTTTTAATTGTTTTTTCTTTGATATATTCCACATGCTGGTAAATCTACTTTATGTTGAATTGTTGTCTTAAAGTAAGCATGCTTACTGATGACTGCGATAGGAAAGTTGATTTTGTGGTGGGCAAAGGTTATGGAAAACTTGGAGGACAAGATTTTGACTGTGGAAGAAAGGTTATATGCTTTCATCAAAAAGGGGTTAAAATTGTGTTGATTCGAAAAGTGATAGATTGTTGGAACTGTAGATAATTTATTTTTTTTCGGAAATTAACTGTAGATAATTTGTTGCTGGAAATTATGTTGAGCAAGTTTGGGTGTTAACTTAAGGCATCGGATGAAGAGTTTTATGGTTATGGAGTTGGGGATTGGGACGAAATACTATTTCTTGAAATGGACATAGATAAAGTCTTTGTATTCAATCTGATAGTTGATTACTGAGTGTCCAAAGTATTCCATGTAAATTCCTGATTTGCCCCTATTCATGTTGCCATGCCTTCACCTACTGGCTCAAGCAGCTTGAACTCATAATTTTGTTTATTGGTTAGAATGCTACTTGTGACGTCGCGCATCGCCTAGTGGGAGAGGTTTGATGGCGCTTGTATGTGTCGAGCCAATTGTGTAGGCAAGTTTGGAGGAAAGCCGTGAGCACCGAAAGGAGAGTGTGCAAAGCGGACAATATCTACACGGGTTGAGTGGATTGTGACAAATGGTATGAGAGAGCCAATCCCCAGCCTGAAATGGAGGGAAGCTACGTCCCAAGAGGGGGTGATTGTGACATCTCATATTCTTTTTTTTTTTTTGAAAAGGGGGGGGGGGGGGGGGGGGTTGTTTGATGACACGTGTGGATGCCTCCCAATTGTGTAGACGTGTTTTGAGAAAAACCATGAGCACCGAGAGGAGAGAGTGCAAAAGAGACAATATCTACATGGTTTGGGCAGGTCGTGACACCGCTGACTTGGATCTCTAAGTATGTTGACTCGCTCAATGACTTAAATAAACTGAATAAAAAGCAATTGTTGGCTAAGTTTAGACTTCCGCTTAAGTTAAAAATGTCTCCCTTTTTTCCCTGCTCCTTGGTGTTTTTGAACTTTCATGCTGGTCTTCTTTTTATATTACTTTATCTGTTATTACAAGTTTACAAGGAGTTAATACAGCCACGTTGATGACTCCATCATTGATCATCATTTAAGTGTGTTATCTCTTTAGTTTTAGAACATTGTTTTGAATTTTCAAGTTTCACCTTTCTGATGGCACCAGGAATAGAAAGCCTAACATTATCATGGTATTATATGGAGAACAGTTTCATACATTAACTGGTTAGGTATACCTTTTTTTTTTTTTGGATAAGTAGATAATATTATACTTCAACATGTTTTCTCATCAGTTTTTAATCTGTTTTCTTTTGCTCCATAACAAAATAATTATCACTGTCTAAATATTTTCTATTCTCGGTTGCTTTTATCTTTTTATTTTTCCCAATAAACTAATTCTGTAATCCAATTTCAGAGAAGGCAAGGCCAGCCCAATACGAAGAGCCGAAGTGAGGTATTCAACCCACATCAGGAAGAAGCTGCTTCTGGTTTTCCTCTCGATCCACCTAGACACACACAAGATGTGAGAGAAGTGGGCAAAGATCTCTTGGATCATATTCCTAAGAGAGCTATGCATTCTGGGCCACTGGTTCCAGGGTTTGGATGGCCAAAGGCTGGGAAGAAATATGATGATATTTCTATTGTTTCAACGAGAGCCGACTTGTCGACATTGTCTGATTTGGTATCATCCAGGACTTCGTTATCTGAAGAGAGCCATGATAAACTTGGTCCTTCACAACCAGAAGCAACAAATCAAGTGGGTATGCTTTCAGAATCATATAGAGAATCAGGGCCCACAAGAAAGCAGGACAGGAAGCATCACACACAGAGTATTGCTGGTTCTCGTCAGATGGAATATGGAAGAACATCTATGAAAGAACCAGTTCCGGTAAGTTCCATGACATTTTTTTTTTTCCTAGTTGGTACTCACACACACTTGTCTCTTCTGGGACTTGAACCCCTGACCTCCCTTTGGGAAGTAAGAGGCTGATACCGATAGGGTACTGGCCCATTGGTAGTTCCATGACATTCTTAAATATAAAGCTTACAAATTCTAATCAACAATTTTTGTTCAGCAAACGAGACCCTGTAATCTTTTTCTCTCGAACCCATTTACTTGCTGGTTGCTGGTTAATGGCTTATGATATTTCTTGAATTAGTTCATATACTTCCTTAGTGTACTAATTTTATTATTTTTATTTTTCTTAACACGTACTGCTTTCCGTTATATTCGTAATCAATTTTATAATGATTCCCCAATTTCATACAAAATGTTTTTACTAACACCTGCTTCTCATTGTCTATCAATATTTTTCCTGATTAATTTTCCACAATGCTCAAAGACAAACCAGTAGTTATCCTTGCATTTTTATAGTGATGTGCTTTTCTTCATATACTTTGATCGATGCCTAAATTTTTGCTTTTCGTATGCTTTACATTCAGAAATTCTAACACTCAAATACTCTTTTTTTTTTTTTCTTCTTATATAGCATGGTCATGGGAAGGCAAACAATATTCACTTCTCTGGTCCATTACTTGTCCCATCAAACAATGTGGATCAGATGCTTAAAGAGCATGATCGCCGCATCCAAGAAGCTGCTCGACGAGCACGACTCGAGAAGACAAAACCTGGTAAATTTCAACCTCAAGGGATGCAAATAGCCAATCAAATGTATATCTCTAGTCGTGGAGCTGGGTAAATTAGGTATGACCTGGAAAGATACTCGTCTGTGTGTGTAAAATTATACTAGTTCCTGTATAGTAGTAGTTTGAAAGAGAGCAATTCTCTTCAAAGCTAGTACTAGTCCAGTTTTACACTTGAAATCTTAGAATAAATATATTTCCGAAAAAAAATCTTAGAATAATATATGGCCAAATTCTGTAATAGTTTATTGTTATAGTAACTTCAGGAATTTTTTTGGACTCAGCCACATAATCCGAGTGGAGTTGATTTTTGAAGTCCTATTTGGCTGGCTGAGATATATTAATGGCAAGAGATCACATATAAATTTATTATGGCAAGCTTATTATAATCTTTGGATGTCATTGTGAGGCGCATAAAGCCGTGTTATAAAATTTTAGTTTCTATCATCATGTTTTTAGGAAAATAGTAAACTAATTACTATATATTTGGATTCATATACACTACTGCAATACCAATATCGTGTGACATGATTGATAGAAATACATTTCTATTTTATAAATTATTGTGTAAGAGTTTTTGTTATACCTTCAAAATAATAATAATAATAATAACAGAGAGGGTGCATCCTATTGTTTCTTAGGATAAATTGTATAAAGAAAAATTTCGAATTGAAAAATTATTAAGTAGTTTTGGACCACCAGCTCATATATGGTCCTGACCAATCATAGAAAATCATGTCAGTAAAATTAATGTCAACATTGACCAGCAATTACAAGTCACGGCCCACACATTGCCAAATCATGCTTTGCGTAGACAGGGCCATGGATTCTCCGACAAACATAGTTCACATCCTCGACGTCAGGCCCATCTTCGACAACTGCAACTCATTTCTCAACCCATTTCGTTGGATCTCCCCTCCTTTCTGTACGGAGGAATGTGTGATCGTTGGAGCACACATCCGTCAGGTCAAGTCGCGACAACCACTTGTGAACCGAGTGCAACGGCGCCACCCCCACCACACTCGCCCAGTTCAGCGTCCACCATGATCACACCAACCTCTTCTCCTATGAAATTCACACCCAAACAGACGAATAATTTCTCCATGCTAAATAGAAATTATTAGGTAGTCCCGAGTGCACCACACCAAGGCTATCCACCAGAGCAATGGGCTCCACGCCAAGGCTGTTCAGGAGTTGGAAAACCCCACTAACCAGAAAACGAATTTCAAATGTTTTAAAGGTGTAATAAATACTATCTAAGCAAATATGTGTGAGTTTATCAACTTGAATCTAAACTGAATTCAATTCTTTATAATCAAATGCGTGTGAAAATCTTTTATATAGACGGACTCAACTTTTAACCCGAGTTTATCAATGTGAATCTAAATTGAGTTCAATTCTTTGAACTCAAATTGATCTTGAGCCAGAAGTTCTCAAGGTGGAAAATAAGGCTATATTTGAGTTAAAGCAACAAAACAATCATTATTCTTCTAACTACTTGAGTTTGAGTTTGAGTTGGTCCACCCAAATTGTGTTTGTGATAGAGTTTGAGTTGCTCCATTCAAATTGCTGTTTGATGGTGTTTATTAAAGAATTTTTTAAAATTAACTTAGAATGAATTGTAACTTTTTTTATAGGTTTGAACAATATATTTTCAAAGTTGGAATTGTGCCTCTATGTGTTGGAGAAACTAACCTAAATTCAATCAGGTTGAGGAGTGGGGAATCCGAAATCCATGTGTGTGGATGATACAGTACACTGTTGGGCCAAATAAAAGATTGGTGTTCACAAGTCTAGAAGCTCTCTGTGTTTTTTTATTTTTTCGAATTCGAAAGATGAAGTTAATATTATAAATGAGAAAACACTATACAAAGGAGGCCAAAACAAACCCAACATAGGGAGCAACAGAGCCCAAAGGCCCAAGCAGAAAAATACAATTTTAACAGCCCAAGGCCCATACAAAGAAAGCATCCAACTATAACTGACAAGAATCCGTTAACGGTGGGAGCGGGCAAAGATCCGGTGAGCAAGCCATGACAATTAGATTGTACTCCTACTTGGATTGAAATTTTTGTACCCAAATTAAAGGTGGTGGTAAAGTATTATTTAAAATATTTCCAATTATTTGACCATAGCTTCCATTGCTGAATGTGGATGAATAGAAAAACAAAATTTGAATGAGACAGAGAATTCTAATCAACATATGTGGGCGCAGTCCAGCTAATTTCCTACCGGACAATGCTATCTCTCTCTCGTTACTTGTTTGCCTCTCTCTCTCACCTCCAATGTCTCCCCAAACTCTCTCCTTCCTGTTTTTCAGCACCTTCATCTTCTTCTACTCAATTTCTGCCATCGATTTCACATTCAACAACTTCAACTCGTCCACACTCCTCACCTTCGGCAACGCCTCAATCCAATCGTCAATCCTCACTCTCACCAACGACACCGCCTACTCTATAGGCCGAGCTCTGTACCCACAACCAATACCCACTAGACCCCCAAACTCATCTCATCTCCTTCCCTTCTCAACCTCCTTCATTTTCTCAATCTCTCCATACCCTCACCTCCTTCCCGGCCATGGCTTCGCCTTCATTTTCGTACCCAGAACTGGAATCCAAGGCACCAGCTCAGCTGGGAATCTGGGTCTCCTCAATTTCACCAATGATGGCCACCCAGATAACCATTTGTTCGCAGTCAAGTTCGACGTCTTCAAGAACCAGGAATTCAATGATCTTAGTGACAACCATGTTGGGGTCAACGTGAATTCTCTATCTTCTATGGCGGCTCATGAAGCTGGATTCTGGGTTGGGGATGATGATGATGGTAGTTCAGAGTTTCAGATGTTGAAGCTTAACAATGGTGAGAACTATCAAGCGTGGATTGATTATTTTGATTCGCATATTAACGTTACTATGGCTCGGGCGGGCATGATAAAGCCTAAAAGGCCTTTGGTTAACGTTTCTATTGATCTTTCTGATGTTTTCTTGGATCAAATGTATGTTGGGTTTTGTGCTGCCACTGGGCAATTGGTTGAACGTCATATGATTTTGTCATGGAGCTTTAGCAATTCCAATTTCTCGATTGGTGACGCTTTGATTACAAACAATTTGCCATCGTTTGTTCTTTCCAATGGTTCGGTTTTTCGTTCCAAAGGGTTCATTGTTGGGGTTAGTGTGGGTGGTGTGTTTCTTATTGGATGTGCAGCTGTGGTGTATGTGGTTTTGCTTAAGAGAAAGAATAGGAAAGGGAGTGTGAAATTGGAAGATTGGGAGTTGGAATATTGGCCTCATCGGATGGATTATCAAGAGATTTACACAGCAACTAATAGGTTTTCAGAAAAAAATGTAATTGGGTGTGGTGGGAATGGGAAGGTCTATAAAGGGGTATTGGTAGGAGGAGTTGAGGTGGCCATAAAGCGCATTTCACTCAAAAGTGAGCATGGGATGAGAGAATTCTTGTCTGAGGTTTCCAGTTTAGGCAGGTTGAAGCAGAGAAACTTGGTGGGATTGAGGGGGTGGTGCAAGAGTGAGAAAAGAAGTCTAATTTTGGTGTATGATTATATGGAAAATGGGAGTTTGGACAAGTGGCTTATTGGGTGTGAAGATAGTATGGTGCTGAGTTGGGAAGCGAGGATTAAGGTCCTTAAAGATGTGGCTTCTGGGGTCTTGTATTTGCATGAGGGATGGGAAAGCAGGGTGTTGCACAGAGATATCAAGGCAAGCAATGTGTTGCTTGACAAGGATATGAATGCTAGGTTGGGGGATTTTGGATTGGCCCGATTGCACAATCATGGAGAATTGTCTATCATGACACAAGTGGTTGGCACTGTGGGGTACATGGCTCCAGAAGTTGTTCGAACAGGGCGTGCCTCAGCTCAAACCGATGTGTTTGGTTTTGGGGTCTTGGTTCTAGAGGTGGTGTGTGGACGAGCTCCCATCCAAGAAGGGAAGCCGGGGTTGATTGACTTGGTGTCGGGGCTGATGGAGAGGGGGGAATTGATTAGTGCTCTGGATGAGCGGCTAAAGGCCAAGGGTAGATATAGTGAAGAGGAAGTTGAGAGGGTGCTCCATTTGGGATTGTTATGTGCATATCCAGATCCTAGTATTCGGCCTACGATGAGGCAAATATTGAAGGCGTTGGAGGGAACAAATGATGGGACTGAGTCTGAGGGTGAAGCAATGGATGCAACTTTGCTTGATAGAACAAGCACAACAGCAATGTGGTCTAATTATCATCGGGGCATTGGTGGAGGACACCCTACATATGAGGAAATTAAGAAGGCTCAGTCTTCTACCATGTCTCTCTCCGAATCAGATATCATCTCAGAGGGTCGATAACATTGTGTTAGTTGCAGTGTCGATGATTACATTAGATGGGAGGTTAATGAATTTTTATGAGAATGCACTCTGTTGAATGGGCCTTTTGATAGTGATCCTGATAACAAAAGTTTGATAATTCCCGTTGTTGGATTGGAACGCTTGCAAAGAGCTACTTTTTGCATTGCAGTGGGATGATTGTATCATGTTCAATCTGCACCGGAACCCAGATTTTTGAATGATTATAGAATGGAGTTCATACGATTTGCTAGGACTGAAGCTTATTTGAAGACTACTAAACCTGAAAGAACTGTCAGCATTGAAAATCTACAAGCACAAATTCTCTAACAGGAGGAGAAATTTTGAGGAGTACCAGCAGGCCATTCAATAGTCTCTGCATTAATTAATAAACAATTGCCAGAGTTTATAAGTCCTCACATTGTGCTTGTCATGAATTGGAGTATTGGATCATTAGGCTGGTTTATTAGATCCCAAGTTTTCTTTCTTGAGAAGATGTTTGTTTCTTGAGGAGGGTAGAATTTGAAAGGTTGTCCCCATTCTTTCATTTTGATGATGCTTCATTCTGTAATCATGTGTGGCCAAACAAGATTCATTACACTAGTTTAGATGCACTATATTTTCACTTGTTATAAGAACAGATTATTTTGTTTGTTATTATTTAAGACATTTGAATGCAAATACATTCTTATGAATGCATATTTTCAATGGGCCTTAATGGAAGTAATCTCTATCATTGCACTAAAGTATGATCTACAATAGGTCTATGTCAGTGATTGTTATGTGGAAAAAATGCCCATTGAAGAATATTGTTCTTGTCCATTCAGTTGGGTTGCAACTCGGAGAATTGGAATACTAAAACTTAATGAACTGAATTGTAAATCAACCTAAATGTATAATTTGATGGAAGTGTTGTATACTCATTTTGAATCTTAATTATGTTGGAAGTGTTGTATAAGGATGTGTTGTATAGCAAACTCAAAATACTGGTGGTGGTTGTAAATTGTAATATGATGAAACTAATATAACTAATATGGAGAGTTATCACTCGAGTTGGCATAGCTCAGTTGGGAAGCGGGGATAGCTCAGTTGGGAGAGCGTCAGACTGAAGATCTGAAGGTCGCGTGTTCGATCCACGCTCACCGCATTTTTGTATTCTTTTTCCTTTCACCGAATCACCATCGCTGTGAAAAACATATCAATGATGGAATGAATGGTGAATGATTATACCATAAAGTGAAAAAGTAAAAGTTCAATATACATACATATATATATATGCTTCCCCTATCATGGAACTCAACCTGTAATCCTAAAGCTCTATTGTGGCAAATCGAGTTATTTTTGTGGTGCAGTTTCATGAAAATAACAAAGTTAAATAATATAATTCTATTATTAAAATATTGTTCCCTTAATAAAAAAATAAAAAATGCTTGATTTAGAAGGATTAGGTGTTAAGCACCTATCGATCACATAGAAAAAGGTAAATACATACCAACCCAATCAAGTTGACAAGTTAAATCATGCATTAACTTTAATTGAATTAGGACTGCCGAATTGTATTTTCATACAATTTTTTAATGTTCCATTTAGTTAGAAAGACAAAAATCTTGAAGAAAAGAAGAGATGGATCTAGTGAAGAGATTATGTATTTATTTATTTTTTTGTTCGGTTAGATAAAAAATTAAAGGATAAGTTCAGAATTTATTGTGTTAAAAAAAAAAAAAATTATTATTTTTATCATTATAAATTATAATATTATAATTTATAAAAGATATTACTGTTGAGCCCCGTCTAATTATCAGTACCCAATTTATATTGTAACGGGGTGATAGGTACATGATACCAGAATATACAGCTAGCTTTTACTTCTTAATAAAAAATCCTTTATTCTTCTCCACAAAAGCTACATACCACATGCTATGTTTCAGTCCTGTTTAAATCTGATTTAATGTACAACGAACCATTGTGCCAACCCTTTTTGTCTACTCGTACATATTAATTGTTGTAATATGAATTTGGTACTACGTGTTAGTTAGCTACATTTATTTTCTGAATATAAAACTATTGGTGAGTAATTCTTCTCTTGCTTTACTGGCATGGTCAATCCACTCCCTCCAAAATCATCATTTACTTTGTTGGGTAAAAAGTAGTTTCTAAAAGTGATCAATTTAATTTATAAAAGATAACTCAACGCAAACAGATCAAACACCAAATGATGTTTTGAGCAGGCCTGACTTGTCCCAGTTTGAAGCCTAAAGCAAATTGTTTAATTAGGTTTTCTCGCACTAATTATATTAATACAATACTTATAATTTTATTTAAAAATTATTCTGTTTGCTTAATTAACTTGCAATAAACTCAAGAAAATATAAAAATACTATTTAAGTTTTAAATTTAATAGATAGTAATTTAATTGTGCAGACAATTAATGCGTAAGAAAGTCAATAAATTGCAAAGTTCAAAAGAAATATAATGTTAGAACAATTATGAATATATAAAGATAATTTAAAAATTAGAAGAATTCAAAAAGGTTTGATCTAGATTGTTGAGAAAAATAAAATGAAGTAATGATAAGAAAAAACTTTTCAGTTAAAAAAAATTTGTATTGACCAATAAAAGAGTAGCTGATTTATTTTGTAATTAGTACAATAAACATAGTGTAATTAATAGGTTTAAAAATATATAAGTAATATAATGACATCATTCTTATTAGACTTCTTCTTTCATTGGGGGCCTTATGCACGGTCTTAATTGCCTTGTGGTTAAGCAACCCCAAGTTTTAAATATTTTAGACATAGTTTTAATTGTCATACAGTTGAACAACCTTTGGTTTTAAGTACCATAAATCAGTCTTAATTATCTTATGGTTGAACAACCCTAATTTTGAGTCATTATTTTAGAATGGGTGTAAAGTTGAAATTTTGTGGAAAAAAATAAAAAAAAAAAAACGTTGCACTCTAGATAAAGTGGGGAAAAGGCGTGAGATAAGGGAAAGAAAAGTGAAAAAGGAGAGTAAGTGGTGTTTATCTTCAAACGATGCTCCAAATGTATGATGATTACATAAATTGAAAAAATAATCCAAAACCTCTTTTGTGACAAATGCAAAACAATTTTGTACTATGGTTGTACTAGACTAACATTGTTATGTACTTGTATGCTTGCATTATTATAATGGAATCATTTTCAAGTTGAAATTTAAGTGCAAAAGTTTAAAATGGTAATCTTAATTTATTTATTTATTTTTATTATTAAGTGTCTAGCTGTCCAGCTATTAGTGAAATCACTGTCACATATAAAAAATTTATATGTGAAAAAAAAAAATATATATATATATATATATACACACACACACACTGTGGAATTAATGCATTAAAATTGAAATTAATGAAAATTTAATTTAAATTTTAAACTAATTTTTTTTTCAATTTTTATTCTAAAAATCAAACATATCATAAATCTATTCAAAATTAAATACTACATTAAGTTATTAAACAATTCTTGTGTCCCTAAATTTATTTTTATATGTGCAATAGCAACCCCAATTTTATGGGCATGTATTAAATGATAAATGCTGTTATACAATAAGGGTGAACAAAACCTCCATCCCCGAATATTCCATGTGAATCCCCTACTTACCCCAGAGCATTCGCATACTGTAATGGAATGATCCAAATGCCAAATTATGTTGGCCCAGAACTGGGTCCACGGTCCACTCCAAATTGGTAAAGCCCAGACATCAAACGTGGAGCCCCGTCTAATCGTACCCAATTTATATAGATTACAACTGATCAGCACCGTATGGTTGCATCAACGGTGGCCCACCACCACCCCAAGATAAGGACAAATTATTATTTTATTATATTCAGTCAATAATGTTTCATAATATTAAAAATATTTATTTCAGAATATTTGGAGTATATCCAAAACAATTCAAAAGCTGATATGATTCCACAAGCTGACCTGGAGCATAGCTGTCTGTTCCAACATTTTTACCCGTCACAGTTCACTTCCTTATCTAGTAGTATCACGCCACGGAAGCAAAAAATTTACAATCATTTCTGCGGCGATTCGTTCGTCCACCTGGGAAAGATGGGTCCCATATATAGCAAAATCTTACTATAAGTACTATACCATGATGATTTAGATCTGTATAGAGCACGTGAAAATTGTAGTCCAAGTCCTAACTAAGTCATGCATATGGCCGGAGCAAAGGTTAGAATTCCGGTGACTTGCCGCCAAGCCAATGATATTGGCAAATACTGCGGCGGACCCGAAAGTGGTGCCATCATGATTTTTGGGTTTCTAGAAGGCGAAGAGTGCTTGCCGGAAAGCCAATGCAATTCCGGCGAGAGCAACAACTTTGATGGCATTGACAGTGTAGAGTTTGATGATGATAATTCAGAGGATGAGAATGTCAACAATGTTGAGGAGAATAAGGCTTTCTGGGAATCGAAGGACCAGCTTCTCCGGGTAACTTTTTCATATATATATTTAAATAGTGATTTTTCATATTGAATAAGATTTTGATTATATGAGTATATTTTTAGGTATATATCATAATTAAAATTGTCAACTAAACACTAAATTTCTTTTTTTGGGCCTTTTCAGGCAACTTTGTGTAGGAGTAGTTCTATTGAGTCCAAAATTAGGCAGGCTACGAAGGAGGCACTGAGAGAGTTAAAATTGGCGGGTGTTAGTTGTAGTTGCCGTAGAGCGGTGGTTGATGGTTGCCGCGATTGCCTGCAAAGAGAAATCTCCGACCGCCTTCGAGTTGCTGGTTACAATTGTGCTATTTGCAAATCCAAGTGGAGGAGCTCACCTCATATCATCTCGGGTATATGCTCAATTTCAATTAAGTTTGTCCAAACTATTTTAGATCCATTATTACATTTACATATGTACGAATTAAGCTTTGAAATTATTACAAAAGAGAAAAATAGCACATCATCAAGTGATTCAATTATCTATATGTATATTCCCAATGATATATTATGTCCTTAGCTAAAACTATTTGTACATCTTTCAGGGGAGCATACCTATCTAGAAGTGGTGGATCCCTCAAACCCTAAGAAAGGTGAGGTGAGAGTGGTGATTGAGTTGAATTTCCGGGCAGAGTTTGAGGTGGCAAGAGCTAGCGAAGAGTACAATCGATTAATTAGCCGACTACCGGAAGTGTTCGTCGGGAAAGCCGAAAGACTAAGAGGGTTGATCAAGATTTTGTGTTCGGCGGCCAAAAAATGTATGAAGGATAATAAGATGCATATGGGTCCATGGAGGAAGCACAAACACATGCAAGCTAAGTGGATCGGGGCGTGTGAGAGGACCACATTGACACCAATTCAATCGGCCGGCCTTTTGAACCGACGGCCCAAGCCCAGGGCTTCCATGCTAACCTTTGATTTGGTAGGAAATTCCGCGGTTAAAGTTGTGTGAGAACACCACTTTTTTTCAATTGAAAGTTTCGTGTAAATAAAGTAAAAATGGTTTATGTGACAAAAGCTGACTATGGATGATGTGATATTCCTATAATTTAGTCTACCCTATATAATTTACTCATGGACAGACAAATTTTGAGGGCCTACAATAATTATTGGGTTTGAATCTTGATCGTACTGCATTAGAACAGTGACGTGACGTGATAAATACTGCCTAACAAATTATAATTATTATTCGATAAAATACAACATATAGTATACTGTAACAATCCGGTATTGTACCGCACCTTATCCAAAATACTAATACCGCCGGATCTTCATTGTCATTATTTATTCTTTTCCACTTCTACACGTTACTTAAAATAAGCCAACATGCACATATGCCAAGCAATTTTGGATTGGAACAGACTGGCAACTTTGTATTTTTCAACACCATAATGACATTGATTTTGATTTTTCCTTTTATTAAATGAAGCTGCGGGAATATGAGTGCACGTAATCCTAATTTTTTTTTTAAAAAAAATAAAAATCAAAATCAAAACCAAATCATTTATGTTTAGAGCACGGATTTGGAATCGAAAGGAATTTAAATTAAAATTTTAATTAATTTTTTTTAAATTCTAAACGCAAAATAAAACCAAATTTATAAAAATAGTTAAAATAATTTGATTTTACGGATTGAACTTTTATAAAAACAAACATAATATTAATTAGTCTTCATCCAAAATCAAGATCAAACAATTGAATGAATATGAATAAACGTCATCCTAATATTTTTTAAAAAATCAAAACCAAATAACTTACTAAATAAGCTGAAATCAAGTGAAATATATCAAATCAAATCAAATTTATAAGTTTGAATCCTTAACTATATAGTTTGATCAGTCAACTAGAACTAAAATTTCAGATCTAGCACTGTGCACCCCTAACAAGAAGTTGTGAAGGATAGTAAATTATGGTTAAAGGTCTTTGTTACGGGATGACACAGTGAGAATGACTGAATGAGAGCTTATCATCTTGACTTCATCATATACTTTGTAAATAAAAAATAAAAAAGACTTCATGATATACTTGAGGGTAATTAAAAAAACAAAAGAAAAAGAAAAAGAAAAAAAGAACAAGAAAAGTAACTAAATAAAAAGAAGAAGAAAAACTCACCTCCAGCTGTACCCCACCAGCACATACCCCACCAGACTTAATGTGCTTTAACAACACAACGATAATAGAATATTGGTCACGCTAAGAAGGTTATTTTTTATTTTTCTTATCTTGACTTATAACTCTCACAATATTTTTAAAAGACTTAAACCTTCAACTTTTTATTTTAATATGAAATGAGTCTTCCATAACAGGCATTTAATTTCTTCTATATAAAGAAATGAAATAAAACTTTCAACTTTTTTATTTACCCTTAATTTAGGCATTTCAATGCATTCAACGCGCTTCCAACGATGGATGAACCTTCTTCGGCTCTCCATTTAAATTCAACATTTTCTCTTACTTCAATTAAATTATATTTCTTTCGTCCCAAAATTCTTATCAATCTTTCTATTCTGGAATTTTCTAAAATATATATCACATTTCAAAAATGAATATATTATTTTTTATAATATTCCCGAACTACCCTTTTGACATTTGCACTAATTATGGAGTACTCATTTGTCTTTTAACAAGAATAAATTTAAACATTCATTCTGATCAATACAATTAAAAAAAAATATTAAAAACCCACCTTCATAAATAGTTAATTCTCCAAACGCCCCCAAGTATTTTAGAATGAAGGGAGTAATAAACTAGCCATTCCCATGCATATTGTGTGTACGCCTAGTTGCACAAATTGCATAGTATCAAAAATAACTATTCCGTATTACCCATGGGAGTAATAAACTAGTGCCATAATTTTTCTTTTCTCATAATATGGATATTTAAAAAAAAAAAAAAAAAAAAAAAAAAGGAAGAAAGAAACTTAAAAATTGAAATGGGGCATCCAACAACTTCCTAGAAGTGACATGGGGCTCGGGTGGCAATCCCAGCTTTTCCAGGAAATGACATAAAGTTTATCATCTTATGAGGTTGAGTGTTACCCTTTCATTGGGTTGTTGAACATTTTCCAATCGAGAGTCGAGTCAGTCATTATAGTGGGCCTCACGAACGACTCCGTAGTCCAAGTCCAGCCGAAATTTCAACAGTGCCGCCGTGGGCCCAACCCTTGATGGACACAAATACAAAGTAGCCCACTTACCATAGATCCAAAAAAAAAAAAAAATTATTACATATATATTATATGTATTAAATGATATTACAGTAAATGCCTTGTATTAATATTTTTATTGCATAGATGTTACATTGTGAATGTAATTTGATGTGCTCCACTGAATGATCCAGAACACTCAGATGATTCTGATTCTCTTACAATCTCCCGTTGTCTATTTTTTCTTGTAAGGACATTTGTTCCCGCTGCTTCTTCTTTTCTTTTCTTTTCTTTTTTTTGGTAAGTAAAAACAAACAAACAAATAAATAAATAAAATAAAATAAAATAAAAACTGTCATTAACCTTAATTAAACATTGACCTTTATGAGTGCTGAGTGGACGACAAAGTCAAGTGCAAATAGTGAAAATTGGAATATGATTCCAATCTGATGGCTGATGATGAATGATACCTGACGTCTGCTGGATGACGTCCCATCCTCAATCTTCTTGGTCTTTCTGACTCTGATGTTTTCTTTTGCTTTACGAAATGAGATACTACTATATCTAAACCATTCCACCAACACAAATTCACACAATTCAATATATGCAATTTTTTTTTTGTTTATTGGATGCTTGTTTCTCTGTGAATTAAGGATATGGAGATCAGCGCCTCTTCTTCAAAAACTCTAAGAAAAGACAGAAAGCTCATAGAGAAGAATAGAAGGAATCAAATGAAGAGTCTCTACTCCGAGCTCTACTCCCTCCTCCCAAATCATACCTCCAAGGTTTCACTCACTCACTCTCTCTCTCTCTCTCTCTCTATATATATATATATATATAATATTCGGGATGATAAAAGATTAGTAATTAATTTGAATGTTGCAGGAGGCACCAGCACTGCCTGATCAGATAGATGAAGCCGTAAAATACATAAAAATGTTGCAACAGAAGTTGGAGAAGAGCAAGAACATGAAGGAGAACTCGTTGGGCAGCAAAAGATCGTATACATGCACTACAAATGAAATGAATGCCTATAACACGAGTTTAAAATCACCTTTAATTGAGATTCACCAAATGGGTCCTGCTCTACATGTGGTTTTGATAAGTGGTCTATCTAATCAGTTCATATTCTATGAGGTTATTCGCATGGTTCATGAAGAAGGTGCTGAGGTTGTGAATGCCAGTTTTTCTATGGTGGGAAATTCCATTCTCTATGTAGAATATCCAAAGGTCATTGTGCTTTCAATCCCCCCCCCCCCCCCCCCCCCCCAATATTTTCTCTTCTATACATGTGTGTGTATATATTCATAAATGTTTTCACCATTAATTTGGTTTTCTTTTATGTAGATTGGAGAATCTACGTTCAATTTTGGAGCTGCAACGATATTCGAGAAGCTAAAAGTGTTTGTTCATGAATCCACTAGCAAGGTAGAAGAATTATGGGATTTTGAAATCCAACCAGAAATTTGGGAGTTCGAAATTCCACAAATAAAGCATATGGGAATTTAGATTTTAACCGATTACTCTAAATTCTGTTTCTCCCTCCCCAAGTTGTCAATCAAAGATTCGGCTCATAGATAATTTGATGTAAAATGCAATGCTTTTTCCTTTGACTTTTGAACCAAGAACATACAAATTAAGCTTGGCATTTTAAGCATTTCACTAAGGGCATCACTTCCCAAAAATATGGCTAAAGAGTGGAAGTCATTTAAGGAAAAAATAATAATAATAAATAAATAAATATACCTAAAATTGATCTCCCGCATCAATTGTAATAATAAATCCCATTTTCCTCCATTATCCTAAATTAGATGGTGAAGTTTACCTTCTCAACAAAATTATCATCCCAACATCCCATCCAAACAAGCCCTTACTTTATAACATGTTCACTGGTTTCCTGAAACACGGTTCAGACAACATCAGAAATGGACTTAATTTATTCTTTACAGCATATATAGCAAGATTCTTCCAATGAAGAATATATATCAATATTATATATATTTGTTATAGAGTGACAATTTTTTTTGTTATTGAGTGACTGGCTAACCAAATTCTTTCAAAAAGGTGTAATGCACTTTTACAAGAACAACTAGGAGTTGTTTCATAACAGAAATTGTACACACTCTTCGAAAATCTCATACTAGTGTCATGGTCTCCACCATTCGTAGCTCGTCAGTGTGGTAGCGACGTCCCCGTCAGCACATTTCTGGCTAGGTTGGGCTCTGATAGCATTTGTACCGACCCACTCCAGCACATGGTATAATATTGTCCACTTTGGGACTGAGCCAGTACGGTTTTGCTCTTGAACTTTATTCCAAAAGGTCTTATGCCAATTGCAGTAACACACCTACATATAAGCACTTCACCTTTTCCTTACCTAGGCGATGTGGAACTGTACACCCGTAACTCGCCAGTGTGGTAGTCTGCCAGTGTCTTGCACCCGCTCACTAGATCATCACAGATCAAATGTCTACATCTTAGAAAAAAGAAAAGATTAGACACATAGCTAATTGCTTGATATTAAAAAATAAATAATAAATAGAAAAAGTTGTTGTGATGGGAAAGTGTACAAGTGATTAGAGATACCTTGATTGCAAGACTCAACAAACCACAAAGCATCCATAGAGTAAAGTGCTCCATTACAACCTTTAGTTGTGGTATAACACAAGGAGAGAGATGGGAGGTGAGAAAATCAAATCTGTACCCCAAAAAAAAAAAAAGGGTTAATATCTAGACTTCGAAAAAGAAATTCCAGATAGATAAAAGGTAAATTAGAGAGAAGAAATTTCCACCTGATGATCTACTTAATTTTCTTTAGAATGGTAACAGAACATAATGGCAATTACACACGAATGAGAGACCCAAGAAAAATGACTGAATAGAATTTGTTGTTGGGAACAGTAATTACATGTGTCAGATGCTAAGGTGGCGACTGAGCTAGTCATGCTATTTATTTTTTGATAAGTATATAAAATTTACTATAGGCATTGAAGGGTGCAAGTTTGCAACCAATGTATACGCCAAACTAAAGAAGTGCTTTACCCAATGTATGTGCCACCTAAGCGGGTATTGGGAGCGGAAGAGTGGAGGCAAACCTAACATTTGGTAATATTTAAACAAAAAGGCTTCCCTTGGACTCGAACTTGTAACCTCATGTTGTCAGTAAGTTCAAGGTTGTAACATTGCACAAGGCAATAACCCATTCATCCTTACAAAATCAAAATTCCTTCAAAAAAAATTCAATTCATCTTTACAAAATCAAAATTCCTTCAAAAAAATTTCATGCCTCCTAAGAAATCCATAAAAGAAAAAAGAATCATGAAACTTTCCTAACCCATAATTGGAATGTAATGAGCATGATATTCTACCCTCTGAAATCAGCAACTATAACCCATGCGAGGCAAAGAGGGGCAGCAAGCAATACTTTCCCTATGTGATATAACTACTAGAATTGGATTGGGATGGACAAAATGGAGACAAGTTAATGGCAGCAACTCCAATGCTCTTTCATTTTGGGCTCTCAAACTCATAATTTGAGAGATGGATAAAAAAGGGCTCTCCAATGGCCTTTGGCCTCTCAAAATTTGAAAATCTCAAATTTGCTCTCAAATGTAGGAGTTGCCAATTTTTTTTGGCAAGTCTCTTTAATTGCCCTATGACGCCGTTTCTTCCTATCTCCCTCAATCCCCTGTTGCTTTCTCTGTCCCTCAATATCGCTATCTCTGTCGTCTCTCTCCCTCTCATCTACAACGTCTTCCTATCTCCCTCAATCCCCTTCGTTGCTTTCTTTGTCCCTCAATATCGCTATCTCTGTCCCTCAATATCGCTATCTCTGTCGTCTCTCTCTCCCTCTCATCTGCAACAACCGGTTGTGGCTTCTGCCGTTGCCGGATTCTGAACTTCGGCGGCAAATTCGACGATCTGTGCCCATTGGAGGACTCCAAGGTACTGCTTAGCCATGGTTCTGGGTGGTCCGATCGTGGCTCCCTCCGCCATGGTCTCTGGGTGGTCCGATCATGGCTCCCTCTGTCGTCATCGTGGTTCTGGGTCGTGGCATGAGTTCCGGTGAAGAGGGCGGCGGCGATGATGATCAAAAATCGACCGAAGATCGGATGAATATGATGAAATCTTATTTTTATAATATGGTTATCATCTCTTGGATTGAATTGTTAATCTTCTTTCTTTCTTTCTTTCTCATCTCTCTCTCGTCAATCTATTTGTTTCTTGGAGAATGGAGTTTGTTTCCTCTGTCTATCTCTATCTATATTTGCAATGGAAAAAGAATGGTGGTTGAAAATGGAAGTTGGGAATGATTGTTGAAAAAAAAAATGGTGGTTGTATCAAAAAATAGCAACACACTATTGGAGTAGAATTGCTAAAATATACTATTTTGACACTATAGTACCTCTCAAAGTATAGATTTGGCATGCACAAATAGCTTTATGCATTGGAAATGGTCTTATGTGATAAAGAATAACACATAGGTTAAAAGGAAAGTTCTATAGGACCGTTATTAGGCCAACTATGCTTTATGGAGCGGAGTGTTAGGCTTTAAAAAAGAAACAAGAACGTCTTCATGTAGTGAAAATGAGAATGTTAAGATGGGTGGTTAGAGTGACTAGAAGAGATAGGGTCACAAATGAATGTTTAAGAAAAAAAATTAGGTATGGCACCTATTAACGAGAAAATAAGATAGTATACTTAGATGGTTGGAGTAACTACATTTTTTAAAAGGAAAGATTACACATATAGCTAATTGTTTGATTTGGGAGGGGGGGTGATGGGGGGAGGGAAAAAAGGTGATGGAAAGTGTACAAGTGATTAGAAATTCCTTGATTGCAAGACTCAACAATCCTTACAACATCTATAGTAGTAACATGCTCCATTACAACCTTTAGTTGTGGAATAACTCGGAGAGAGGGAGATTCAATTCTAAGAAAAGAGAATAAGGAGGTGAAAAAATCAAATCTATACCAAAAAATACAAAATAAAAATAAAAACTTTATCTGAACTTTGAAAAAAGAAAATTTCAGATAGAAAAGAGGTGAAGTTTTTAGAGAGAGGAAAATTTTCGGCTCATAGTCTTTTTTATTTTCTTCAAAATGGTGATGGGACATAATGGCAATTACACACGAATGAGACACAAAAAATGACAGTGAAAATAATTAGTTGTTGTGAAAAGTTATTGAACAGTGTCACATGCTAAGGTAGCGACTGAGCTACCATAGTTACGCCAGCAGTTGTGGCTAGCATCCCTCATATATACTAAGGCGCACAGACAAGCCTAAAAGGGAAAATAATACATGTCGGACACGGACACAAGCCAGACATACCGGGACACATGTCGAACATGCCAAAAAACATGTCTGAATTTTTTTAAATATTTAGACACGGCGCGGACACAACATGGATATGTGCGACACATGTGTCCCATTCTTGGGGTTTTTATTTTTATTTTTTTTGGATAACGCACTTGGGGATTTTAAGAAAGTTTTACAAAGAAAGCTAGGTTGAAGGGTAAATATGAATGCAAAGATTGTTTAATATAAGGAGTTGTTTAATAGCTTTCAGTAATATGATGGTCATTACATAATTACTTGTAAGTTGTTGTTTTATAAAACAATTTTATATTAAACAATCAGATTTTTATGCTTATATTTTATATAAAGGTTCAAACTCTTGCACAATTATCTTTGATTCTCTCTTGTTCTCCCACCGACCAAGCTTCGCTCCCGGTGGATGGTCTCTCTCTTTCTCCTCTTTTCTCTATTCTTCTTTGTCCTCTTTTATTTCTTCTTTTTCTTCTTCACAAACCCTAGATACTTCTTTTTTTCACATTCAAAACAAAATTCTTTTTGTGTCTCTTTTTCCTTTTTCCTCTTGTTTCCATGAACTTTTTCTCTTCTATGAATTCTTACTAACTAAGCTCTAATTATTTTCTTGCAAAACCCTAATCCTATTGTTTCTCTATTTTCTTCTCTTTCTTAACCCTCTTTCTATCACTCTCTCTTTTTCTCGGCAAAAGCACAATTTTTTACATTGTTAGGTTGATAAAAATAATATTACTCTTAATTTCTTAAAGTATATTATATACATATTGAAAGATAAAAAAGTTGAAGAGAGAAATAAAACATGAAGAACGCAAGGATATACGCGGTTTGGCCACTACGGCCTACATCCATGGCACACAGAGCCCAAAGGCTACATCACTTTTATTATTTTCTCTCTTAATATTGTTTACAATCAACACTTCTATTTATAGGTGAAAGAATACAAGTGATAAATAGGAAAAATATATTGATGGAGTAATATTCCTAAGAACAATACCATAAATCCATCCAATCAATATTCTATCATAGGCTAAAATCACTCCTATGATATTCTCCAACAATATATATATATATATATATATATATATATATAAATTTTCCGTGTCTCTGCCTTGTCTGTGTCGTATCGTATCCGTGTTGTTGTGTCGCTGTATCCGTGTCGTGTCGTGTCGTATTCGTATCCCGTATCCATTTCCATGCTTCTTAGCATATATAAAGGATACAAAAACTTGGTACCAAACCTAGGATGCTTCTCTCTTCACAACCAACAAACAAGTAAAAGCTTTTTGGATCCATCGTGGCCAACCCTACAGGAAAACTACTATTTTTTTAGTTGCATTGTTTCATGATGTACAATTACCAATTGGAATCACTCACGAGTTTTATTCGTTATTTCTTTTTTGATAAGTATATAAAATTTTCTATATGGATCAGAAGGGTGTGCAATACAAGTACACGCCCAACTAAAGAAGTGTACTACCCAGTGTACGTCCCACCTAAGCAGGGTGCCGGGAGCGAAAGAATGGAGGCAAGCTTAACA